CTGTATTTAAGACATACGTGTCTTAGGTCATGATAACATATATATATGGAATATGTATACATTGGAATGGAATATACATATTCCATTTGAGATAGGGTCTCGCATATCTCAGGCTGGCTATGTACAGAAGATAAACTTGACTTTCTGATTGTCTTGTCCCCACTTCCCCAGAGCTGGGACCACATATATATGCCACTATACCAAGTTTATATGGTTCTGGGGATCAAGCCCATGCTAAGCAAGCAGTCTAACACCTGAACTACATGCCATTATGAAATGTATTTGTTACTGTGAACTGAAAAAAAAAAAAAGAAAGAAAGAGGGAGAGAAAAAGGAAAGAAAAGAAACCAGGCTCCATAAACAGGCAAAGTGTTATTTGTGTTGTCTGAGCAATTAAGAAATAGACTATCTCATCCCCCCTGTACAAAACTTATCACCTTTACACAATTATAAGAAACAAGCAGAAGGGAGGGACGTGAAGATGGCAAGATTATCCAGTGTTCAGTGTGGGACTGAACAATTCTGGAGGGTCTCTCCCACAGACTAAATGTGAATGGCTCCCCCTGGAGTTGAGCACTATGTAACCAGTACAGCTCCACAAGGCAGCTGTGTGAATAAGGCCTTTCCAAAAAATCAAAACAACAACAAACCCACCCAAACATAACAAACAAAAAACCCACTATTAGTTATTTTGACTTAAGTCACCTTTCTCAAGCTTAGTGATTAAAATGTAATTAAAAGTGTCATAATGCTTATTTTTTTTTTCTTTAAGACAAGGTCTTTCTATGTACTCCTGGAACTCACTATGTAGACCAGCCACAGAGATCCTCCTGCCTCTCTGCCTCCTTAGGCCTGGGATTAAAGGTGTGCACCACCACGCCAGATTATAATGCCTACTTTTAAATTGCAGAGTGAAATTCTCATATCTCAGTGTAATGTGATTTTCTTTTTTTTTTTTTTTTTTTTTTTTTTTTTTTTTTTTTTTTTTTTTTTTTTTTGGTTTTTCAAGACAGGGTTTCTCTGTGTAGCTTTGCGCCTTTCCTGGAACTCTCTTTGGAGACCAGGCTGGCCTCGAACTCACAGAGATCCGCCTGGCTCTGCCTCCCGAGTGCTGGGATTAAAGGCGTGCGCCACCACCGCCCGGCTGTAATGTGATTTTCTAATCATCCTGAATGTTTAGAAACTCAACAATGTTATTTCAGATTTACTAATAAAGTCAATTTGTCATTGTATAACTTCAAAATTCAATAGAGAGTGCAGAGCTTTTGAAGTCTAACAAATTTGGGTTCTAATCCCCATATAATCCCAGACCATACAACCTAGGGTAGTTATTTAATATCCCTAAGCTTCAATTTCCCAAAGCATATGTTATATAGCCTTAGGACCTGGTCCAGTGTCTTGGAGTTCTCTCAATAAATACATGCGCTAAACGAATTGAGCTAACACGAATCAGCCTTGTAAGGTGGCAGTAACATACACCAAGTTCTTAGCCTATGGCCAAAGACTAGCACACAGTAACTAAACAAGCATTCATAAAGGATCTGCAAAAGATGTCAAGCAACATCTGGTCGTCTCGGCTCACTAGTGCTATCCCACCCTTGGGAGTGCCTTTTTCCTTTCTTAATGAACTCTCTCTATTCTTTAGAACAGATGACAGCCTGAAGCAGTGATACTCTTCAGGATGGAAAGGTTCATACTGGGAGGAATCATTTTTCAAATGGCTGTACACGATACAAGAGAGAAACAACAGATTTCTCTTGTATATTATTTTTTTGAGACAGGGTCTCATTAGCCCAAGCTAAATTCTTATAAAAAAAAATACATAAAAAAACATTTTATGACCCTCCTGACTTTACCTCCCAAGTGTTGGGATTAGAGGCAAGTGGTGACAGACACCATGCCCAGTTTTATGCTCTGCTGGGGACAGAACCCAGGTTGTAGTACATGGCAAGCAAGCACTCTACCAACTGAGCTTGAGTTACACCCCCAGCCCCTTAATATATTCTCTCTGTCTCTCTCTGTGTCTATCTGTCTGTCTCCTCCCTCCCTCCCTCCCTTCCTCCCTTCCTTTCTCAGATTTTAAAAAGAAGAAATCCAGACACAGCAGGATGGGGATAAGATTGAAATCTGAGAGTATATTTGGAACAAGTAAAAAGAAGGAATTAGTCTATGTCTATAATCCCTAGAACTCAGGAAACTGAGGCAGGAGGCTTTCCAGGTCAAGGCCTACCTGAGGTATGTAGGGAGACTGTAAATAATTTAAAAAATTTTTAAGTGAGCAATGCACACATTTTGTTATTTCCAACTACAGTGCAAGTAAGAAAGGAAATGTACTGATCACTCAAATAATTTTAAGGGTGATATTTTCCTCAGCCATAAACCAAGCAGGCAGAATTGCAGGGATTCAGTCCTGGGCTGGGCAGGGCGGGGGGGGGGGGGGGGGGGGGGGGGGGGGGGGGGGCGACAACAAGAGAGGACATATGCTCCTTCCTCTGACAGAGCTTATTTCCTGGTGGAACTATGGTTTTGAGGCAACCTTGACAACACTTCCCCCTTATTAGAGTCACCAGAAGGCAGAAGGTCGCAGCCCCCCCCATCCCCCAACCCGCCCCCAGCACATAGCCAAGCCTTAGCCTCTGGTCCTGCTGCCCACCTCCTGGCAGGAAGGTGGGGGCATTCTAGAGAGATTGATGATAAGCGGCCAAAATAACATCCGTCCAGGGAGGAGGGATGGATCTCTAAGCCTCAAAGTGAGGTCAGCCAGTGAACAGTTAGAAAAGCAATCATTTCTCACACTTGCTAATGGGTTTGACGCTTGTGAAACATAAACAGGAAGTGGGAGCTTGAGCGACCGGAAGGAAATGCACCCCCAGTTTGGTCAACATGTGAATCCCAGTTCTCCAGGTCGTCAGAATACTGCCAATTAAGGCTGACCCCCCGCCCCCAAACTGCAGCCCATCCCAGCAGTGACCCCATTCCCCCCCAATTCCCCATCCAGGTCACCCCGCGGCGGGGTGACTGACCCAAGCACGGTGTGGGAAGGTTAACAGTCATCTCTCAACTCTCCGAATTTGCAGGGCAGGGGAGTGCAGAGGTCAGTGAAATCCCCAGCCAGGCCTTATTTTAGTCATCAATTTCCACTGGCCCCTTGCTGTGTGTCAGCGGAGCTCACAGCGCTGCAGGTTCTGCGTTTCAGATGCTTTCCCAGCTCCGGGCTGTTAGAAGGTCAAAGAGACCAGACTTTTCTAAGGCAGGTGGGGGGGCGGGAGAACTAAGCGAGATTGCAGAAAACTGGGGCTGGAGCTACCCTTTGTGCCCCACTCACGGGCCTGTGAGCTAACCTCTATTACCTAAACGTTTGGGTTAGTATTAAATTAAAACCTCATCTTTTATTCTCTGCCAGTGGCCCCGATAGACTTTGTGCTGAAGGCAGTCTTCAGATTGGCCTCGTTGGCTCCTTCCCAAGGTCCCTGTAAATTCAAGGTCAAAGACCGTGTTTGATTCTCCACTGTCTCTAGCCGCGAGCACGACGCCGAACAATGGGAAAGGAAGGGGCCCAGTGAATGTGTACTTCATAAACGTGTACATTTCACTGTGATAGGCCAAGAGAATTTTTTGGCTCCCCCCCCCCCCCCCCACGTCGTTTTCCTCCTGCCGTGGAATAGACCGCAAACAGCGCCACCCAAGTTCCTGGTTAGCAGCGGGATCCCATGCAGGCTGGCAGCCCCTGTGCGCGGGGGGTCACAGCTAGGATGCCGGCGCGGAGAGGCTTGCAAGTGAGCCGAGCTACGGCCCGCGTCCGGGCCACGTGAAGCGTCACGCCCCGCGCTGCTGCAGGGCAGGCGCCGTCGCCGCGGTTGTGTAACGCTGCAGCCGGAGGGGAGGCGACCCGGACGCCTCTGCTCCGGAGGGGGCAGAGGAGGGAGGGAACGCCGGGCACTGTGCCCGGTATCTTTCTGTGCTTGACTAGCCAGGGTGGGTGGGGGCAGTGAGGCACCCTGAAAGGCGGGAGGAGATGGGTGCGCGCCAGTCGGGTGCCGGGCCACCCGCAGGCTGCGCCCCGGAGCTGAGCTCCCGGGAGAGTGAGGGGCCGGCGCAGCTCACACGGTCCACGGTCAGGTGCGCGCGGCGTGCTCGGCGGCGGCGGCCTCGGCTGCCCTAGCGCCTGGCCGCCTGCCCGCTTCCCATGGGGTGACATCCGCCCCGCCCTCGGTCCCTCCCCAAGGCGGGCAATTCCTGGACACTGGGCTGAGCGCTGGGGGGCTGGGAAGCGGGGACGGAAAGAAACCCCAGCCTCTGGGGAAGGCCAAGGGGGGGGGGGGGACGACGACTCCCTCCGCTGCGCACCGGTTCCTAGGAGCGGGCCAGGCGGGGGAGGAGGAAGAGGGTTGGGCTGGAGCGACCGAGGGGATATTCCTCTCCCGGCTTGAGTCAGACGCGGGCGGATCCGTCCTCCCCCGTTCCCTCCCAGGAGACGGGAACTTACTTCATTTCCCTGGGGCAGGTTCGCCCACGTTACCAACCTCCCCCCCCCCACCAACTCCCCGGTTCCTTCCAGCTTCCGTGCCCCCCACCCAGCTGGGCAGGACTTGGGCTGCGCTGCCACCCCCTCTTTCGGGGAAAGGAGGCCGCAGCCGCAGACACCTGGGGCCCGAGGTTCGGGGCGCGCGGGGGGGGGGGCACTTCGCAGCCGCCAGAGCGTTGTCCAACACGTGAGACTCATGTGATGAAGCCGGGGGGAGGGCGGGCAGGTCGCTCCTTCCCTCCCCGGCAGCGGCCAGACGTGCTTGGAGTCACAGGGTAGAACACGTAGCTTCTACCCACCCACTCGCTCCCATTTAACCCAGCCCGCAGCCTCTCCTTACTCCTCGGCTCGTCCTCTCCAACAACCCCCCCCCCCCGCTCCGCCCTAAGCAACCCCCCTCCCCTCCCGCCTCCCCGCCCGCCCCACTTCTCATTCACTTGGCTCGCACGGCGCAGACAGCGCAGCGAGCATACACCGCCAGTCTGTGCGCAGAGCGGGAGCCAGAAGCCGCGGAGACACCCGGCCATGCACGCCCCCAACTAAGCGACGCCTCAAAGCCGCGGCTCTTGGCAGCCCAGCGCATTGCAAGGGAGCTCAGGCTAGCTCAGAGGAACATACCCCTTGAGACCCTCGGATCCTCCCTTCCAGGGCAGTCCTCCCGCAGACGCTCTGCTAAGTGCAGACAGGAGCGCGCAGTGGCCCCGGCTCGCCGCATCATGGAGCGGATCCCCAGCGCGCAACCACCTCCTACCTGCCTGCCCAAAGCGCCAGGACTGGAGCACGGAGACCTGTCAGGGTAAGTGTGCACTGTGACCTCTTCAAGTCTCCGCTCCTAGCCTTGTGTTGTGCGCCGCTCTCAACTTGGGGCACCTCTGGGAACATAGGGGGGTTCTTGCATCAATAGGGCGCCTGCAGCCTGTGCGCACTCGGGAGTCACGGCTCTTTCTGGCCCCTCTCCCTACAGGATGGATTTTGCCCACATGTACCAAGTGTACAAGTCCAGACGGGGGATAAAACGGAGCGAGGACAGCAAGGTAGGTGCATCCCTGGGGACCCCATTCCCTAGCCCCTCGCGTGCGCTGAGTTTCCAAGAAAAGTTTGCTTGTTGGAGGTTGGCTGGGGGATTCAAGATGTGGTGAGCCCATTGTCACAACTGAGTGACTTGGGAAAGGGGGCAGAGAAGGTGATTCTGGGTGCGTCTCTGCGCCCTTGCAGGATTTTTTTCCTGCTGCCGGGCGGGGAGGAAGGGAGGCTTCATGTTCCCTTCCCCGGGCACCCATCGCTTCCATGTACTCCTTGCAGGAAACTTACAAATTGCCGCATCGGCTGATTGAGAAAAAGAGACGTGACCGGATTAACGAGTGCATTGCCCAGTTGAAGGATCTCCTACCCGAACACCTCAAACTTACAGTAAGTGAGAAGCTGGCAGCGCTCCAACCCAGCTCTTCTGCCCAGAGGGCGGGTGGGGGTCACTCGCCGCCTGGAGGCGTCACGAGGAACTGCAGGCTAGACGGGCGGATCAAAGCTCCGGATAGCTCTGGGTTGGAGGGAGCCCATCCCCAGTCCCAGTCCTTCCAGGCAGAGGCAGAACCAAAACCCTCTGGGGCCCCTTTAAGTTGGATCCAACACTAGCACAGCTTTCTTTTGGTGATTTTCACCGCCTGGTAGTTTTCCTGACTTAAAGGAGCAAACCACACACACACACACACACACACACACACACACACACACACACACACACACATTAAGCCTTTTCCTTTCCCACCTTCCATCCATAAGAGGACAACCTTTAATGTGTGCTTTTTTCTTTCCATCATATCATTTAGTGGTAGCCAAAAGCTTTCTAGCTTTTCCTTCGGGAAAAGTATTTGGAAAGGAAGATGAGAAGCCTACATGAGCTGGAAGTTCTGAAAGGGTGTCAGGGAAACACACACACACACACACACACACACACACACACACACACACACACACACACACACACACACACACACACGGAAAGCCTCCTGGTTGCCAGACACAGTTGACGTCCCTCCCTGGGTTGACACCACAGCAGAGAAATGTTATCTCTGGAGTCCCCTGAGGTAAGGTCAGGGCAGCTGCTGGAGAAATGTATCTGTCAGCTCACTCCTGAGACTGTAACAGCTACCAAAATGCCTCCAAAGATAGATGACACGTGTTTGGTTTGGTTTTTTTTTTAATCCGTTGATCATCTATATGTGTATGTTAAAACATCTGCAAACTTTAAATTTAGTAAAGCAGGAAAGGCTCTTCCTGGGTTTATTGTTGTTTACACCCAGACATCACAAATAAGTGTCTGCAAGGACTTCTCTGACCTCATGGGTGACAGGAACTGTTTGTTTTCTCCCCCTACCCCCCAGACTTTGGGTCACTTGGAGAAAGCAGTGGTCCTGGAGCTTACCTTGAAGCACGTAAAAGCATTGACAAATCTGATTGATCAGCAGCAACAAAAAATCATTGCCCTGCAGAGCGGATTGCAAGCTGGTGAGTGCTGTGGTCTGATTAGCATCTCCCTAAGAGCTCAGCACAAGTAGAGCCCTGGGCACACTGACTTCTGACCCTCCTGTCTCCATTCACTTTTGCATATTCTTTGGAGGAGATGCTTTTTTATTCTTTCCTAAAAGGTCATACTTTCCATTCGGAGTGCCGCTGTGTGCCACCTGGAATGAATACATATTAGCTCAGTGATGAAACGTCCCTGTGACATTTTGGCCCAAGAGTGTCTAGGTTCTGGGAGACTTCCCCATTCCCCTTTAAAATGCCAAGGCACCTATCATTTGCCTTGTGGGTGTTTTACAGTTGGTCTTCTGAGCCCTCGATCAGGGGTGAAGAGAACACAGGCCTGCCCCCAGTGTTTTCCTGTTCCTTTGTTTCCTTGACTTTGGATGTGGGGTGCAGTCTTGGCAGGATGACAGCAGGTTTTGGGGTTTTTTTTCCCCCCTGCATTTCATTGTGGTTCCCTGAATAGCCACTAGGTATCTTGACGAATTGCACAATCTAACGAAACCACTGGTTTCATCATTCATTTCTATGGAGTTTCAGAGACTCCGAGGCAACGTCTAACCTTCTCTCCCTTCCAGATCATACAGTCCAAGCCAGGGGGAATCCTTACACGTACCCCTCAGGCATTCTTCTCTGTCCTGGCCAAGGCCAATATGAGAATCACAAATAACCAAGCCCGTGTGTCTGCCAGTTTTCTTTCTGAAAATAGAAAGTTGATCAGAACTGATCTCTAGGGCAGTCATGGATACAGTATATGGAAAAGACTTACAAATAAAGAGCCCAGTTAAAGTTCACAGGGGGAATGCAACTGTTTGTTTAATAGGTTGGGGTTTTGTGTGTACGGAAGTTGTTGGTTTTAATTTTGTGGGTTTTTTGTTGGTGTTCAGCTATGTTCTTGTTTTGAGACGAGGTCTCAATCTGTAGTCCTGGCTTTCCTAAAACTCAGAAGCTATCCTCCGGCCTCAACCTCCCAAGTGGTGGGATTACAGATGTGAGCTACAACTTTTACGGGCACAGTGATGCATGCCTGTAGACCTAGCACTTGAGAGGCAGAGACAGAGCCCCATAAGTTCAAGGCCAGCCTATTTTGCATAGTGAATTCCAAGCCATTTAAGACTAAATAGGAAGACCCTGTCTTTAAAAAAGGGGTGGTGGTGTTTTTTTAGGTGGTATTGTTTCTGTACTGTTTATGACGGTCTGGTTTTCTGCGTTCTTGAGACTGTTGCTATACTAATTGATTGGAGATGGGTGTGGTAGCTTAGACTTGTAGTCTCAGCACTCTGAAAGTCCAGATAGGCTCAATATGAGTTCAAGACCAGCCTGGGTTGTAGAGTAAACCCCATATCGATCTAGGATAGAATGAGGAGACTGCCTCATTTAAAAAAAAGAAAGAAAGAAAGAAAAAGAAAAGGAAAAAAAAGTATGATTGCTGAACATATAAATACACTAGCATGTTCATATTTTTGTGTCACAAGAAAAACTGCAGATACTAACCTACAAGTCAACAAGAGTAGAAGTAATTTGGTCTATTTCTCGGGGATACTATAAAGGCATTCAAAGTCCTATTTGGGGACAGTGGAATGTACGTAGCCTAGTGATACACTGTTGTGCTTAGTGTCAAAACCCAAGCATAAAAGAAAAAAAAAATCTGTCTCTAAGTGGTAGGAATACGTTGATTTTATTCTTTGTACTTTTCAGTATAATTCTATAGACCTATTACTTTGGGGGCTGGAAATGCAAATTGACTGACAATTTTTTTTTTAACAAACAAACAAACAAAAAAAAAACCCTGATGTACCACACAACCTTCTAAAATCCTTCTTTCTGGGTCTTTTTCTCCAGGTGAGCTGTCGGGAAGAAATATCGAAGCAGGACAAGAAATGTTCTGCTCAGGTTTCCAGACTTGTGCCCGGGAGGTGCTTCAGTACCTGACCAAGCATGAGAACACTCGGGACCTAAAGTCTTCCCAGCTGGTCACTCATCTCCACCGCGTGGTCTCCGAGCTGCTGCAGGGTGGTACTTCCCGGAAACCATCGGACTCGGCTCCCAAAGCCATGGACTTCAAAGAGAAACCCAGCTTCCTGGCCAAGGGATCAGAAGGGCCTGGGAAAAACTGTGTGCCAGTCATCCAGCGGACTTTTGCCCCCTCGGGTGGGGAGCAGAGCGGAAGTGATACGGACACAGACAGCGGTTACGGAGGTGAATTGGAGAAGGGTGATTTGCGCAGTGAGCAGTCCTACTTCAAAAGTGATCACGGTCGCAGGTTCACCATGGGAGAACGAGTCAGCACGATTAAGCAAGAATCTGAAGAGCCCCCCACCAAAAAGAGCCGAATGCAGCTCTCAGATGAGGAGGGCCACTTCACTGGCAGTGACCTGATGGGTACCCCGTTTCTGGGCCCCCACCCACATCAGCCTCCCTTTTGCCTGCCCTTCTATCTCATCCCGCCTTCGGCAACTGCCTACCTGCCTATGCTGGAGAAATGCTGGTACCCCACCTCTGTACCATTATTATACCCAGGCCTCAATACCTCTGCAGCAGCCCTCTCCAGCTTCATGAACCCAGACAAGATCCCGACTCCCTTGCTCCTGCCCCAGAGACTCCCTTCTCCCTTGGCACATTCGTCCCTTGACTCTTCGGCCTTGCTCCAGGCTCTGAAGCAGATCCCCCCTTTAAACTTAGAAACCAAAGACTAAACTCTGGAAAGAGATCTGCTGCTGCTTTGCTTTCCTTCCTCCCTGATTCCAAAACCACAAAGGTCGGCCCTCCATGCAGACCCACGTAGGAGATTCAGAGAGAGAGAGAGAGAGAGAGAGAGAGAGAGAGAGAGAGAGAGAGAGAGAGAGAGAGAGAGAGAGAGAGAGAGAGAGAGAGAGAGTGTGTGTGTGTATAGGACGTTAAGTTCCTTCTGACACAGGGAAGACACGAAAAGGATGACCTCACATCAGATGACAGGGCTGTGGCAGTTCTCTGGGCTTTTCCCTACCCAGAGAAGAGCCCCCTTTGATACAAATCAGTTGGATCTTCACAGGCTTTGAAAGGCTTGATCTCTGAGTCACTCTTTAGTTGGGGAGCTGGGTCTCTCTGTGGCTTTGAGAGAAGGTGCTTTCAAAAGAGGGCTTTCCAGAGCACAGCTCCCAGCCAGCTGTTAGGACCCCACCCTTCTCCCTTTATTGTCGAGGTGACTCACGGCAGACTGACAGCGGTCAGACGGAGGAGCTCTCAGCTAAGGTGGTGAGGTAGCTGACACTGGCATGTCACGGTAGTGGTTTGGGCAAATTTCTGCAGGTCTCCTCCCCCACCCCCGCCTCTGATGAATAAAGACAATGAATGCAGTTCCCTAACTCAGGCTTTTGTGGTGATTAACTTGCTGAGGAACTGAAAAGGGCCCCCTTGGTACAAGCTGAGCTGCTAGGGAACCGAGGTGGACCAGACCGGTCCCAGACCCAATGGCACCTGTTTTCTAGGTCTTGCTTCTATGGTGAGCTGTCCAGGTCTCAGAGGTGGCAGATGCCCTAAGCATCCCAAAGTGTACAAAGCTAAATAATCAATTGCTCCACTTACTACTCAGCTAGACTCGGATTTCAAGCCCTCCTAAAGCTTTGAACCAAGCTTAGCTTCTCCAAGGCCTAGCAGAGCTTTGGCACCCCAAGATCCTTTCTCTAGGCTAATCCCTCTTGCCCGGCAGCATATGGAGTGTCCTTATTGCTAAAAAGGATTCTGTCTCCTTTAAGGAAGTTTTATTTTTGATCCAGAGTCCTTGTTTTCTTGACTTGCTCAGCCAGCCCTGCACCAGCTTCTCGAAATGCACTATGCTTGTGTTTTAACTTCTTTTCCCATTTTTATTTGGGCATAAAAAATCGTTGCCTTTATTTGTAAAGCTGTTATAAATATATATTATATAAATATATGACAAAGGAAAATGTTTCAGATGTCTATTTGTATAATTACTTGATCTACACAGTGAGAAAAATGAATGTATTCCTGTTTTTGAAGAGAAGAATAATTCTTTTTCTCTAGAGAGAGGAGAGGTTACAGTGTTTATATTTTGGAACCTTCCTGAAGGTGTGAAATTGTAAATATTTTTATCTAAGTAAATGTTAAGTAGTTGTTTTAAAAATACTTAATAAAATAATCTTTTTCCTGTGGAAGAGAAATGGTCTCCTTGGTTTTAAAAATAACTTCGTGTCATCGTTCTTCCTTCACCCTCTTGCCTGAAGACAGTGTCTACTTAATTTTGATATAATTGCATTCAGCTTTTCGTGTGCCTGGCATTATTAACATTATTTATTTATCCATCCATCCATTCATTCATTTATTTTGAGGCAGGGTCACATGTAGTAGCCCATGCTGGCACCCAATTTGCTATGTAGCCAAGGCTGGTCTTGACTGGATCTCCTTTCTCCACCTTCTAAATGCTAGGATTACGGCCAGGCTAGGCTTCCTGGAGCAGGAGAGGCATGCCCCCACCACACCTCATTTTATGTAGCGCTGGGGTTTGAACTTGGAGCCTCATACATCTTAGGCAAGCACTCTACCAACTGAGCCACATCCTCAGTCTTTATTATTTTTTAATGAACTCTTGTCAGGGATCTGCACTCACTCTATCCCTGTTTCCAGAGGTAAGTGACAACCACTTAACCCCTAAACAGCTTCGGAACTTGATGGGAAAATCCGAGTGTGGGCTCATGGACTGGAGTGTCCGGGGAGGCTGCTGTGGGGCTATGCTCATTGGGAAAGGATTTAATGGATTATTAAGCAATAATAATTGGTTGGAGATAGCACCTCTTTGCCAAGGCAGGTTAACGCTTTGAAATCTAGCAGGTTCTAATGGATTTCCCATATCCTTCAATGCTGCTGAAGGCAACAGTCCATAATTATTTTCTATAGTCTTCCAACTTCCTCTCTGGGTGTGTGCAGGAATGAGTATCTGTGCTCTTATTTAAAAATAATAATTAGCTGGGAAATGATCCAGCTGAGTATTTTTGCTTTCTTCCCATCATCTTGATTTGTCCTGAGGTTTCCTGATGGACATAATCCAGGACCCAGAGCATCTGAATCATCCAGAATAGTCTAGCTGTCTGGAGGACTCCCCTACAGGGAAGCCAACCCCAGGGGATTCTCGGCACCACCTGCAGGCACACAGGGCCTTTCAAGTGTCACCTTCTCTGACTTCCTGGGGGTCTGAAAATGAAAGTGAGTGTTCAGTGTAGTAGTCAGTGCTGGACGAAAGGGCACAGCTGTCCCCAAGCCACACAGTGCTGGGGCAGGAGCCTGGACCTGGGGACGAGGCCTCAAGGGGCAGGTGTCCGTCCGATCAAGCCCCTCTTAGGCCTGCTCTGACTAGGATTCTCACACTAACCTGCAGCTCAGATGGTCCCTGAGTCCTGCTTTAGGTAGTCTGCCCTTGCAGCCCCCGTGCCTGCTAAACCCACCCCCCAACTCCCTCCCAAGCTATGACTCAAGGAGTAGCTGTGGACAGCAGGAAGTGGTGCGAGCACCCTGAACTAAGAATAGATTTGAGGGTTGCACAGGCCGACAACCCAGAACGTCTCTTCTAGAGCCTGCCACGTGAAGCCCCCTCACCCCCATCCCCCCGCCCGCCCCCCAGAGGCGCAGCTGCCCGTCTGTTTTTCTGCCTCCAGAGTGTCCTGAACTTTTTCTAAGCAGGGTTTCAGGAGCCGATCCAAGGGTGTTCAGGAAGGTGTGTGAAGTGGCTCACATCCCAGCCTTCAGCCCAGTTGGGGACAAAGAAGGCCTCTGTTGAAAAGGGTGTGTGTGTGTGTGTGTGTGTGTGTGTGTGTGTGTGTGTGTGTGTGTGTGTACGCGAGCCGTGAGGGGTGAAGCATGGACTCTGGGGCCAAGGAGCTCAGAGGCCTGGGATCTGGCCGCCTTCAGACAGGGCGTGCTCGGCGGCGGGGCTGCCGGGATGGTCTCACCCAGCGCTGACCCGCCGCGCCTGTTGACACGACGTCACGTTTCCGACTAGAGCCTTTCATGTGCGGCCCGCGGCTAAATGCGGCTGCCGGTTCCTGGAAGCAGACGTGCCTGGCACGGCGTCAGCAGAAACCCGATCCCCGGGGAAGCTTGGCAAGGCTTCGGGATCGCTCGCTGGGTCCCCAGAAATAGGGCCTGGCTGCGGGCAAGGCCGCGGCCCCCTGGTGCGCAGCGGGACGGAATCCGAGGGCAGGGATGGGGAGGGAGGGAGCGCTGGGTGGGGCAGGAGCTGGTTTGGGGCAGAGCTTTGGATCCCGGGCCTAATTAACACGGATCGACAAGCTTCCCAGGGCTCATCCCTCACTAATGCAGCCCTCACAACCCAGAAGCCATAATATAATAATAATAATAATAATAATAATAATAATAATAATAATAATAATAATACATAAAAGCAGGCTCAGAGAAGGGAGGTGACTTGCCCACGGTCATCTAGCTTCAGAGTGGGGTCGTGGCTCTGTGGGCTTTGTGGAACTGTTACGGAGAATCAAGAAAACAGCTTTCACAGAGCCTCCTCCTGAATCACGGCTGTAGCATTTAATATTTGCCAGGCAGGCACTCCTCAGAGCACTCCCCATACAAGGACACAATGATCACAACATTTGCACGTAGTGGGTACAATTCCCATGATTCTGAGAATGAAATGAAGAGGCAGAGAAGTTAAGTACTTAGAGTCACACAGCTCCAGTAGTAAACTGCAAATTAAACCTAAGCATTTAGGCTGTGGAGTCTATCGCTTAACTACAAAACTACCTTGTCCTTCTTGTTACATTAACATTAAAAAAAAATAGTAAAAGTAGTGATAATCACAATCATTACATTATTTTGAATATTTTCCTTATTCTGGACTTTTATTAAACATTTTATGTGACTCTTTTTCTGGTTTTTGTTTTTTGAGACAGGGTCTCATGTAGCCCAGGCTGGCTCAAGCTCTCTATCCTCCTTGTAGCCAAGAATTTGTCAGCTCCGTGGTAACAGGATTAGAGCCACGTGCTGGCTGAAGTCTACTTCTTGTAGCAGCTGTGGAGAGTGGGCAATAATCCGCCACTACCCCCACTTTTAAAATAAGGTGCCACTATGTAGCCCTGGCTGGCCTCAAACTCATGATCTTCCTGCCTCAACCTCTAAGTGCTGGGATTAGACTATGGCCACTATGCCCAGCTAAAGCAACTAAAGCAATTTTAAAATTGCATTTATTTATTATTTATTTACTTACTATTTTTATGGGCAAAGTATGTGTTATGGTGGGAGATGTAATCAGAGGACACATTGTGGGAACTGGTTCTTTCCTTCCATCTTGTGAGTCCTGGGGATTGAACTTGGGTCATCAAGCTTGGCAGCAAATGCTTTAACATACTGAGCCCTCTTGTAAAATGTTTTTTTTTCCCTTTTATTTTTACTGTATGTATCTGAATGTTCTGCCTGTGTGTATGAATATGTATCACGTGCATACCTAGTGCCTTTGGAGGCCAGAAAAGGGCATCAGATCCCATAGGACAGGAGTTATAGGTGGTTGGTTGTGAGCCCATTTAGGTGCTGGGAACTGAACCCTGGTCTTCTCAAAGAGCTGCCAGTACTCTTAACCACTGAGCCATCTCTGTAGTCCAGTGATTTTTTGTTGTTGTTGTTTGATTGGTTTTTGTTTTTAACATGCCTCTTTTACAATTGCCAAAGGTGGAGCTCAGAGGGAAGACGTGTAACCTGAGGTGATCCATTGTGCTAGGGACAAGCCACACTCTCAAGTTCAGGTTTACTTGTTTTTTTGTTTGTTTGTTTGGTGTTTTGAGACAGGGTTTCTCTGTGTAGCCCTGGCTGTCCTGGAACTCATGCTGCAGACCAGGTTGGCCTTGAACTCAAAGATCCACCCGCCTCTGCCTTGGGAGTGCTGGGATTAAAGGCGTACACCACCGCTGACTAGCCAAATTTACTTCTAACTAGAGCTGCAACAGTGCTGATCTTTGACATGCAGTCTTTCTTTTCAGCTTCACAGAAGCCCTGTGGATGCCTATTGGGAGATTGAACTACCGAGCTCAGAGAAAGTCATTTGCCCAACACTTCATCCAATGCCTTACATTAAATGTCCTCCCACCCACGACTCCATCCCACGCCCAAGAACAGACTGTTGCCTGAAGAACTAAAGCACAGATTCACAGGGTTGTGCACACCTGTAATCCTAGCACTCAGTAGGTAGAGCCAGGAAGATTGGGAGTTCAAGGTCAACATCAGGACTTAGCAAGTTCTGGGTAGGTGATCCTATCTAAAACAAAAACAATCAACAACAGTAAAACATGGAGCTGGAGGTACAGCTCAGTTCATAGACTACTTGCTTGGCTTATACAAGGTCCTG